CGTACTCACCTGGAACCTGCAAAGACATAGAAACAACGGGGTGAGCACAACTAATGCTCAGTAAGTAAATCCTCTATTTGTCTATCCCCATAACACTTTCTCTTAATTCTTTCCTTACACTATTCTTTTCTCATTTCTGTTCTCTTTCTGTTTCTTATATTCTTTGCTATACACCCTCTGGTGTATGTCACAACCTCATCTTACTAGAGGCACGGCTGGGAACTCAACCCGCTTTTCGTGACTTTACTCGTTTTCTCTTTCTGTTCTTTCTATACCTTTGTTTCTCATTCTTACTCATTGGAATGTCACAGCCTCATCTGACCGGAGGCATGGTTGGGTGTTACCACTCTACATGACTTCTGCTCATTTCTCTACCGATTGGATTTGGTCATGCATGGATTCGAAATCCTTAGCCATGTGAGTGTACATTCTTTCTCTATATCTCTTTAATGTCACGGCCCTTTCTTACCGAGGGCACGGCTGGAATCTCGTGTTCCACTCTGCGTGACGGTCACGGCCCCATCTTACCGATGGCATGGCTGGGGATCACAAAGCACCCACTCTTGTGACTCTACTCATCAATGCCAATATACAATGTTGCAATAAGTAAGGTTCATAATTCATTCTCATGCTTCTCTTAGGCATTTCATCAAACAACTCATGTGCATAACAAACTCTTCTCTACTTACAACTCTATTTCTCTTTTTTAACCATCCAAAATTGGAAGTAAACTCCCTTCCATGGGCATAATCCCTTCCATAGAAGAACACTCCCAAGATATAACTCAATCTCATCTAACTTCATCTCAACTCATTACACATCCACACTTCTTATAAGGGAAAAGTATCCAACAAGCTCAATATGAATACTTATCTCAATTTAATTTCTCAACAAGTAGACATATATCTCTACTCAATTTCTCAATAACATACATAAAACATGCATACATCATTTCTACTAAATCTCTACTCAAAAGAATTCTCAAACCTCAACTTGGGTTAGGATTTACTTACCTTGTGATAAAGAACTCTCACTAGTATATCCTTTTCCTTTGCTTGCTTGACTTTTCTCTACCCTTTAAACAATAAAACCATACAACTTTAATATATAAAAAAATACACAAAACCTCACGTCCAAAGCAAGAATCCTTACCTTAGGATGACTTAGCTTGATTTTCTACTCTAATCACTCCAACAACCCTTTAAAAATCCTTGAACTAATGAAAAAGGAATTGAGAGGAAGTAGGAAAGGAGAATGGCGATGGAGAAGAAGATGAATGAATGGGTTTCTAGAGTTAAACCCTTATCATATCATATTCTCTCCATTCTTTCCCATTTTACCCTTACTCTTTCTTAAGAATTCCACTCTTGCCCTTTAAATTCTTTACAATTGCACCCCCAATAAAACTATTCTCCATGCAATTCCCTTGCATTTCACTCCCCACTTTTCATGCTAATTAGGGGTAGAATGGTCATTGTGCCCCAAAGGAAGAATTCTAGAAACTTCATTAAACTTTTTGTTAGGCTCGTCGCCGCGGTGAAGACTATTTCTTCGCCCCGGCGAAACTTCACAGAACCTACACCGTGGTCGCAGGGCCTCATTGCCGCGGCGACGATTCTTCTTCGCCCCGGCGAAGACAGTAACCCCAAAATTCTACCAAGTCTCTACAATTTTAGGGCAACCACTCAACCAAACCAATACATCCATTCAACCAAGGGCCTACCAAACCATACTAACAATATTCCAATTCAAATAAGAGTAAAACAAGAAACATTAGCTACGTACCTCGAGTGGGGCGTTACACTTACAGCAAGCACCCATGTGTTGCATCAGGTTGTCACCAAACAACCTTGACAAGTAAGATCAGTCACTGCATTTCGACAAGGTCGTTCAACACTATGATAGTCTTACCGTATTATCTGTGCCCTTACTTCAGAATAATACTGGGGCTACGGACATTTCTAGAATAGCCATCATATGTGCTCATAGGGTTCTCACTATTAAGATTTGAAACACTTGATACCTCGTCACGGTTCTACCATTCTAAGGACATAAATCAATACATACAATGATGATTTACGCGATATAGAATAAAATGTCGTTTATTGATCAATGAACATTATTACAAAGAGTCAATTCTACAATAATTGATTGGCTCTAGGGCATCTACTCTAACAAGAACTTGCTTCGCTTCTATCCTTTATTTCCAACACCAGATCATCATTTGTATCTCAACTGTTGCGTCCTATCTCTAGTTGTGGATTGCTAATTGGCATGGTGGAGAAAGAAGAACAAGATTGCAATAACTAGAAAACAATAATGAATAAGAACCTGAGCTTTACACAATAGCTGCTCTTACACAGAAGAGAGGAAACTCCCCAGAAGGGAGAAGCGTACAGTGTAGTTTATTCACTATTCCGTGGCTGGTTTTATTTTCTTTTTCAAAATTGCAAAAATACTTGGAACCCAGACCTGGGTAGACCTGACTTAGCTTGGGTCATAGAATTCCTGGGTCTGCATCGAGTCTAAGTCTAATGCTTCAATATCCGAGCCGGGTCTAGAACTAGAAAAAACTGGCCCGATCCGAAAAGTTGATATTCCTGTTAACAATTAATTCCATGGTAAAGTATAAAAGAATAATAGTAAAAAGTAAAATGAATTATGTCATGATTATGAAGAGGATTAATAAAGCTTATTAACATGAATTTATATAATTAAAAAAATTGAATTTTTTTAATATACATATAAATAAAATAACAAAATAAAAGATAAAAATGTATTGTAATAAGTAAATTCTCAATAATGAAAAATGCACTATATTCTAAAAAGATGAAACGAAGAAAAATTTAAGATATTAATTTTTTAAGCAGGCACAATAAAATTATGTAAGAATATGAAAGGCTTTTCTTGAATTTTCAAGATTTAGGTGCTCCCCTTTTGAGTGTACATAGGTCAAACTCAACAGTCAATATTAGGATTTGAATTAAGTTTTGTCAATTGAATGAACAAAGTGAATATCCATAGGCGGCCCAAGCCCACGAACTAAGGCCCAAATGTTGAATAAAGTTATTAATTTCTGACAATTTCCTCCATTTATTGTAGATCCATGAAATCTTTTTGGTAAAAAACCTTCAAGTTCTCTTCTGTTTTGCATGTATATAACAGTGTTGAGCTGTCATTGTTCAATCAAAATAAATAGTTTATATTGTAATTGTAAATTAAGGCCATGTGAAACCTCTGGCAGCCATGTTTGTTTATTGATCTAAAAAGATTGAAGTATCAAAATGATAATTAAAAATAAATTAAACATCTAGAGATGCTCATAATCAAATAGAATTTGCTTGTTGACATTAAAATCTAATACAACTCTGTCAACGCCACATAAATGCTTCATCAGTTTGGAGTATTATATTTATTCTGTCACTTTTGAAGTTAACTTGTTGAAGTTGCCAACTAGCAAGAATTGCTTTCCTTTTCAAATTATTAATATTTTCATACACTGGAGATGGAGCTCAAGGAATTGGAACAAATAGATCTTAATCCACCCTAAGCTTTTAGTCTAAGAGTTCAAGGTCCTGGCCTTTTAAATACTAAGAAATACCCCCTTTAAACTAATAATCTTCAATCAAATTCTAATTCTATTATGTCCTTACGTGTATGAGTGAATTATCAATTCTTTTCTATGTGTTAACATCTATTAAAATCAAGGAGATCATTTATCCTAGTAATTACGTTTGGGTGACCGAATGGTTTGATAGAGATCTTGGATGTATTATTCAAAAAGTCCTAAGTTCGAATCTCTCATTTATTTTTAAGGTACGCGTAATTAATCTGAATACTCCAATCATATAAAAAAAAAAAAAAAAAATCAATCCTAGTTGTTTAAATTGCAAGATCTAGACAATATTAGACCAAAACTGTAGAGGGGTAAAGCAATTCTCTTATTGTGATAAGTCTTGAATAAGGACAAGATAAGATGCCAAAATTTCAAGCAACCATGACGTGAAACCAAATTCCATTGCTACTATAAAGTTGTAGGTATTGGATTTGATCTTATGCGCACAGTGTTTCATATAGATTTTTTTTTTTTTTATATTTAATAATTGAGAGTCTATTAACATTTCCTTCTTCTACTTACTCAGGTTGAGATCCACACGGCAAGAAAATCCAACAAATCTTATAATAAAGAAACAATTTTTGGCATTATCGTACACCTCCAATGACACATAAAAACATATGGGCCAAAATATGCCCCCATTTTTCATTAAAGTTTTGAATTTAAACCTGAATCAACAAAAAATTAGAATAAGAGAATGTAAATTAATGGAGCTTGAACTTTGTCCCTTCTTTTGTTTTATCTTGTACACTATCCAAAGGTAAATTTGGAACTGTAGTTTGTCTTAGAATTGAAAAAAGTTCAGATTAAAGGAATTAATGATATTCATAAATAATAGAGTCAAACTGGTAGATTGAGATGGAAAACGAAATGGCAGTAATTTTTTTCTGAATTAATGCCGAAAATTAAAAATTCACATGGGGAGAATCACAACCACCATACCTTTTGTCTCCCCCATGTTCCTTAAACATATTTTCAGGTCCTTCAATGGCACAGACTAACATGAATAAATTGAACATAGACTTAAAAGTTTATCAGTCAAACCATGCATATTTCCCACACGTGTGAAAACCATTGGGAAATTGCATGCACACAGAACTAAACCAGCCATTGTACGCTACCATTTAGTGTAATTTATGAATATTACCACTAATCAATTTCCTATTTGTCTCTCTTTTTTCTTAAGCATTTTTTTTAACAAAAATGGCAGAAGATATCTAGGAAAAGCCGATGAAATAATGCAAGGAAGAATTTGAAAAGAAACGAGTTAATTATTAATTTGTTAATAAACGGAAAAAGTTAAAATTGTGAACAATAAAACAATCTAGTAGATCTCATATTTCATTCTACTCTATTCAATAATAATTATTGATACGATAAATAATGAAACTAAAGAAAAATGGATCATGCTCTATAAGATTAAATTAATCAAAGTATGGAACAATGTTATCACTTGTAAGTGAGCTACAGCCTGTTGTGGAAGTAGTAGTAAGAGCTGTGTATAGAGAAGAAATAGACGATGAAGAAGACGAAGAAACTACAATAGAAGGCGGCGGTGGAGGAGGCGGCGGCGGCTGCTGTGGTGCAACAATAGATACCATCTCAGAAGTAATTAAATTAGTACAAGAAGGATTAATAATATTGGTATTATTACTAGCTTCTCTATACTTGTATTTAAGTATCTCTGCCCTCACTGCATTAAGTTCTGCCGATAAAGATTGAATTTGTTGTTGCAAAGTCGAAATGGCTCCCATGCATCCATACACCGGATCTCTCAGCCTCAAGTTTGCTTCAAAAACCAGACTATTTGCAGCATCCGCTCTTTGGCTCTCTGGAACCTCCTGAATAATATAAATAAAATCATGATAAATATATTTTTTCTTTTAGAATCCAGAAATCCGCAGCTTCGAAACTAGAGCCCCCCACCAAACCCTGGGAGCAGACCATAAGCTTGACTATCGGCTAAACCCAATTAAGTAAATCTTGATAAATATTTATATAGCAATAATTAAAATAAAATTATAAATGAGAGGTAAATTAGGGTTTATACCATTAACATCTTGGAGACATTGCTAGCACCGAAGACTTTGTGAACAGAGGCGAATTTCTGAGGTTCATGTGGAGAGAAATATGGAGAGAAAGGACATTCCTCAGCACATCTTCTTCTCAAAAGTTTACATGCAGCACAAGGTGTAATTGTGTTCAATGTCCCTAAAGAAATATGTCTTCTTCCCATTTGTGATGAGTTTGAAACATCGCTCTCTCTCTTGATCTTCTTTCCTATCTCATCAAATCTCTCCCTGAATCAAAACAATAAGATGATTATAATCAAAAGAAATATTAAGAAAAAAAAAAGGAATATCAGAGTCTTGACTCTCTATTTTGTTTTGTTTTTAAGTGAATAAGTACTTTTACCTTTCTCTGGACATTCAAGCATGCTAAAATTTTGTCTAGATCAAAGGAGTTGAAGAGATGGGGGAGTTTGAAAGGGAGAGAAAAAGATGAGAAGGAAGAAAGTAGTACTTAAAAGGCAAGGTATTCAGGGAAAGTAGGTCAAAGTTATTTTAAAAGAAACAAACAAAACAAGGTATGACAGAGGTTGAAGAGGGAAGCGTTAAAGATAGAATAATCAAGAAAATCTTCTCTTGCTATAGTTTTTATATCAGTGAGACATAAAATCATTTAAAATAGGGTAAAAATTAAATACATGACATAATTAGGTATATAAGTTAATTAGATTGAAATTCAAATAAAATATAGCATATATTATTTTGCATTTGTGATTTATTCTTGAGAAAGAGAACGCCAGCTTATTTAAATTGCTCACATGTGAATCCTTGAGTAATTGACTTTTGATAGCAACCCTCTGAACTGATTGCTTAAGAAGGATAATTACTATGTGCTGCCTAAAAGTGGTTTTCTTTCTTTTGGTACATTGTATTTGCTTCTTTTATTGTATTTATTGCTAACCTAAATTTGACTTCAAATTCCCACAAAGTTATGAAATTAACCATAATTTCTTTAGGGTCTTCTTGAGAGTTTCATGATAGCAGTTATAAGAGTAAACTATCGTAATAGTTTTGAAGGGTTTTTAAAACACTCAACCTGGCTTTGTAACATTTGGAATGATTGAAAAATTGTAGCTCCACTTCTCCAAAAAAGCATCTAAAAATAAGATTTTAATAAATTTTAGTTAATGATTGCTTAAAATTATTTTATATTTAATATGGTTAGAGACACGCATAATATGGTTAATTTTGTTTTGGATATAATTAGGATAGTTTTGTAGTGAATAGTATATTTGTGGAATAAAATTTTAAAACAAACCAAAACACCCCGATTTACAATGTTTTATAAACCACTCAAAAATACAATATACTGATTTTGAAAGGTTTTTGAGCAAATCAAAACCTATGTATAAAAAATTTGGCAAATAATGGTTCTAGAATACCTCAAAACCAGTGTAATTAAAAACTCCTTAAAGCTAGTGGGAAAAAAACTCCCAAGCATACCCTTAACTTTTTTAAGGTTTATTTCATATATCTCTAAGATTATTTAATATAGCATGCCCAAATTTTACAGAATTTACCAAAAACATTTCTATGACTATTAAATATCCCTTTATATTGTTCAAAATAAACCCAATTTTTTAATTCAAATATTTAGCGATTTTATGTGTAAACAATGAAAAATAAATCATATATTAATTAATCACATACAACAATACATAATTTGCGATAAAAAATGAGAGTAATATTAAAGATCAAACACAATAGTTTTGAATTTGTTTTTATTTAGAACGGTGCATTATATATATATAGGGCGGCGTCGGTGAGTTTTTAATTGTTGGAATCTCAACAGAAATACCAATGAAACTTAATTCATTTCGTACCATAAAAAAAAAATGGTGAATTTATGATGAAAATATTGACAAAATTTGGCAAAGTCCTCTTTGGAAAATGTCGTACGTTGAGGAAGTCGTATTATTTCACCACTAGATTTTGTTTAAACATAAAAGTCCAAACTTTGAGGTGGACCATTGTATTGGTCCAGTTGTCAAGAAATGTATCTATACTGTAGACATAGATATTGCGTATCTTTTTTTCTTGGATTTACTGGTTCCATTACTATCACCGGTTACATAACTAAAACCTTCTTTTCCTTTGCGGGGAAATGTTTTTTTTTTTTAAAAAAAAAAATCAAATCTTCTAATCAAAATAGAAACAAGTTTTCCGGATTAAAAAAAAAAAAAAAAAAAAAAAAAGGGGAGAAAATCACTTAAAGTGACATTTCCTCTTGTTGTCAAATGACAAACCTTTTAACGAGTAGGATTAGTTATACCTAAATGGTCTTATGTTTGAGTTGAAGGACAAATATTTATCACGTTTGAGTAATTATCTTGATCTATTAGGTTTATAAGGTGTTTTGTGGTCTGATGATTAGGCAGACTCTATTATCAGCCTGAATACTCGTATACCTAAAAAAGAAAATTACTTTGCCTTTGACAAGTTAAAATATGACTTTTTTTTAATAGTTTGGCATATTAGACCTTTTATCTACTTTTGGTCTCATTTTTACACATCCACAACTTTCATACCTTCACTCTAGCAAGTCTAGAGCTAATACTGAGCTAGCACTAGAGTTGTTATAATTATTCATCAAAATAGTGTTAGAAATTTATTATCAAAATCTTTAAACAAACAAATTAATTAACTATGTTGAAGAGTTTCAGTCTCGGTGAACAGAGGGAAATTTGGGGAAAAATATCGCTTTACTGATTCAACTGATTCAGTCTTCTCGTTGCTGTACAAGTGCATTTATATTACATTTAGATAAGTTAACTCAACTAACTAGTTAACTAACTCAGGTTGTAACTAACTCAAGTAAACAACTTAACTAATTGAACTGTAAACTAAACTGATACAGTAACTGATTCTCTACAGTTATAACAACTATTTGACACCCCCTCTCAAGATGGAGGGTGGTAGAGATCAAGAACCCCCAACTTGTGTAATAGCTTGGAATGAATGTGACCTCCAAGTGCTTTAGTCAATAAGTCAGCTAGTTGCTCTATAGTAGGAATATAGGCAGTTTGTATGAGACCAAGTTTGAGCTGATCTCTGACCATATGGCAATCAAGATCAATGTGTTTTTCCTCTCACGAAACATGGGATTAGAAGCTATATGGTTTGCAGCCTGATTATCACAATGTAGGGGAGTAGGCAGTAGTTGAGACTTTGAAATATCAAGTTATGTGAGGAGTTGTACCAGTCAAAGAAGCTCACACACAGTAGTAGACATTGCTCTGTATTCTGCCTTAGATGAGGATTTGGAAATGGTTGCTTGCCTCTTGGATTTCCAGGATATTAGAGACTTACCAAGGAAAACACAGTAGCCTGTCACAGATTTTCTGGTCATAAGACAAGATGCCCAGTCTGAGTCGCAATAGGCTGACAGAGTCACACTATCTTGAGAGCTGCCTTCAGATGTGATTCCTTAGGTTTGTGCATGAATTGACTTAATAAATTGACTGAAAAACTTAATTTTGGTCGAGTCATACTCAAATATAGCAACTTACCTACTAACATTTGATATACACTTGGGTCAGGAAGTACTGGATCATTGGCTGAAGGAAACATTTCATCATATTTAACAGATGTCAATTTCAAAGTGGAATCCATTGGAATTGTGGAGGGTTTGGAACCAAATAATCCAGATTCTGAAATCAATTCTAATGCATACCTCATTTGACACAAAATAATCCCTTTAGATGATCTAGCTACTTCAAAACCTAAGAAGTACCTTAGTAATCCCAAGTCCTTAAGCTTGAAATTAGAATGTAGGAGTTGTTTGGTTTGCTGAATCATTTCAGTACTACTTCCTGTAATCACTATGTCATCCACATACACCAAAAGTACAATAATGTGTGAACCAAGCCTTTTGATAAAAAGATAATAATCTGATTTAGATTGACAGAAACCACCAGTGATTAAGGCTCGTGTAAGGTTATAGTTCCAAGCCCTAGAAGCTTGTTTTAATCCATAAAGGGATTTGTGAAGCCTACAAACCATATTCTGCCTCCTCTGCTTAACAAAACCCTAAGGCAAATTCATGTATATCTCCTCTTGCAGATCACCTTGCAGGAAAGCATTATCCACATCCAATTGATAAAGAGGTTAGCCATTCATGGCAGCCAAAGACAAAATGGTTCTGACAGTAACCATTTTCACTACAGGGGAAAATGTTTCTGCATAATCCACCCCAGCCTATTTAGTATATCCCTTAGCCACCAACCTGGCCTTATACCTTTCTAAAGAACCATCAGCCTTATATTTCAACTTATATACCCATTTACACCCAATAGGAACCTTACCAGGGGGTAAAGGGACTAAAGTCCAGGTCTTATTGTGCTATAAGGCTTGTATTGCTTTCTGCATTGCAATCACTCAATTTGGATCTTTAGAAGCTAAAGAAAAAGAGGAAGGCTCAACCAAATGAAGATTGGACAGAAAGGCCTTGTAAGAAGGAGAAATACGGTTATATGTGACAAAATTAGAAATAGGGTAAGGAGTAGCATTGGCTGAGGAATTAGGTGTAAGAGTAGGACAAATGAAATCTGAAGTCCAAATAGGAGGCTTGGTAATTCTATTGGATTTCCTAAGAGGATGAATAACAGGCTGTGAAGATAAAGTAATAGTAGGAGAAATAATTTGCTGGTCAGGTAGCAAATTAGTGGAAGGAGAAGATGGTTATGTAGACTGGACATATGGCATTGTAGTATTAGATGGGGAAGTGACAATGGAAGGTGCTGACTCTGTTTCAAGAAAATCAAATACAGGAGGAAAGGGATTTTGTGAAGAAATGGACCAAGAAAAAGGGAATATATGTTCATAGAAAGTGACATCCCTTGAAACTGAAACTGAATGAGAGGAAATGTTATAGAGTAAATAACCTTTCTGAGTTAATGAATAACCTAAGAAAACACAGGGGGTTGATCTAGGGGATAATTTGTCTTTATGAGTAAGAATTGTAGCATAAACCAAAGAGCCAAATACCTTGATATGATCCAATGAGGGAGGCTGGCCAAATTTTTTTTCAAAAGGGGATAAACCATGAAGAATAGATGAGGGAAACCTATTGATCAAATACACTGTAGTTTGGACACAGTATCCCCAAAGATGGTTTGGTATATGTGCCTGAAATTTCAGTGCCCTTGCGACCTCTAGAATATGCCTATGTTTCCTCTCAACAACTCCATTTTGTTGAGGGGAATATGCACATGAGCTTTGATGTATAATACCGTTTTGAAGAAACAGGTCATGACAATTTTTGTTAAAAAACTCAAGGCCATTATCAGTTCTAATGCATTTAGGAGTAAATTAATACTGATTTTGGACCATTTTAAGAAAATATTTGATTGTAAGAAAAGTCTCATATTTAAATTGCATAAGAAATATCCATGTAACTCTAGAGTAATCATCTACAATAGTGAGAAAGTATCTTGCATTACCATGAGTTGGTGTCTTATATGGACCCCAAACATCCATGACCCCAAACATCCATGTGT